TCTTTTTATATAGGCAAAACCCCAAACCTTACTGCTTTGGGTTTTTTAGTCCAGGTCAGAACTATGTGGTTGATAGAGAAATGCATGGTTAGTGATTTTTAAAGTTAAGCATCTACTTCCCCAAACTTTGGGAATATTCAGATCAAAGAAAGCTCTGAATATATATATAGAGAGAGTTTCTACAATCTGAAATTCAGTGTGAAGTTAGATTCAAGAATCTTATTCAGATCTATCTTTCCTCATTCTTTTGGAATGTTTATGTGGAGAGATGTACTGAACAAGACACCACAGAGTACATAAAATTATAGATCATAAATCAGGGGAATTTTATTATCCGTCCTTTTTGGAAGTGCTGTAAATGAGACAAATATTTCTGCATTTTCATAAGGCATTAAAATTGATTTCCATTTTAACTGTGGGGCACTGCAATTGCAAATAAAGTAGCTTGTCTATAAAAATGACAGCACCTTTTAGCACTTTCTTTTCTTCTTACAAACTTGTCACAGACAAGCACTAAAACCATTTTCAGTCTCATTTGTGGTATTTCACAACCCATACACCTGCAATGTTGGCTTTCAGTATCTTGCCAGCAAAACACAAGGTGCCACCTCCAACAGCCAGCAATCACTAACTTACCAAACTCACTGTCTTTTGAGATGTTCTACAACTTAACACCATTACAGAGAAAACTGTCTGCCTTGTTTTCCCAAGGGATGCGCAGGCATTTAGCACCTGGGAGAGCTGCATGTGCCCAGGACAGCAAAGGCAGGCGGCTCTCAGGAGCCCGGGACAGCTGTGCTAGCCCACCTGTGCTAACTGACAGCTGGCCACAAGAAAGAGCTCCACGCTGGGAATGCCCTGGGCTGGCACCAGCGCTCGGTGCTGCGGGCAAGGAGCCGCTTCCTGAGGCCAGCAGAACCCTGAGCAGGGGGGCCTCACTTGGACTTTGGGAACGCAGGGGCTGAACTGCAGCCTGGGAAGGGGTGTAGTGAGCTCAGCCCAGGAAGGGAACGCGGTCCAAGGAATGTCTGCCCCAAGCCCCATCAGCCACGTGTCCAGCGGGAGCACATCCACTGCTGATGTGACACGCATCTCTCCTGAACAGAGGTGAACAGGCACACTTGGCTAAACTGCACTGGAGTGTGCACGGAGCCCCAGCACGAGGCTACTGCTTCAGCTTTGGCAGGAACTGAATTGTCCCACAGTCTCTCTGCAGGGCTGTGAACACTCGCACCTGGTGGGACCGGGCTACTGCTTAGATTCCCAAGCAAAACTGGAGGTAGAGGACAACAGGATATAAAATCAGCCTGCTATCCAAGCAGACACTTTTACACCAAATGTCTGTTTACCTGCACTATGATGTAAATGAAGTTGCTGAGCAACCAGGAATTTGGTCCTATTTTTACTTCTGCATTTAGAGTAGCATCACTGAGAGTCTACCTTTATAAGAAAGTGTATGTTTTTACAAAGAACATCAGATATTTTAAAAACAATTCCAAGATAAAGCAAAGTCCACTTCCAGTCCTTGTCAAGATGCAGAAGGAAAAAACACTTTAAAGGAAGTCAGAATTTTTAGTAGTTATGTATGTAATCAAGTTTCATGATTTGCACAGGACTTGAAAATATATGTGATAATTTTGTTAAAGCAAAAAGCAATGCTCTAAGCACACACAACTACAAAAAGAACCTGTGCAGTATCTGAACAGTTACAAGATACGTTTTTTACATTTCATTTGCATTGACTCTTCATTTAAATCTTTTCCCATAATGATAATGGGTCATATACATAACTATATATTCAGTGAAGTTAAATCAGGAATTGATTTGGCTCCATATACTTCCAGCTAAGACGGTAAATACCAGACTCCTGTCTGCTCTGTATGAATACAAATGGCCTCAGTGGAGTTCTGCCAGTTTATAGCAGCAGAAAATCAAGGCCAGAGGATCAGTCTTTTCCACAAGAGTAGGATTTGTTTCCATACTATCTTTTTCATAAGGTTCTAAATTATCTGGTGGGTACTCTTCATACTAAAATTATTTTCCTTCAGTGGCACTGTGTGTATACAAGTGTATACCTGGATACCTCTGTGCGTTAATAGAAATATACTATGTTATACCCATAACAATGTCTGAGTCAGATTTGCCTGCACATCTTTTCATTTCTTCAGTCTTTATCTCATCCTTCCACATTATTTCAACAAATAATTACTTTTCCTTTTACAGTCATGAGAAATGAACATTAACCCTGAAATGTTAACAATATCCACGCTTTCACCTCAGCCAACCAAGGAAACAACCCTTCAGTTTCCATCCCCAGTGGAAGAATTATTTTACTTCTCTTAAATCTCAAAGAGTTCCTAAAACAAACAGCACCTCCCCATTACTCAGGATCCATCAAGACTCTGGAGAGAAACACTCCTTCTGGCAACACCAAAAGTAGCCACAAGTTCAACACAGATAAGCTGACTGACTAAGGATGCACATCTCTGCTGCACTTTAAACATCAATGAAGTCATTAATACAAAGGGATTGGGGAGATGCATCACACAGCCTTCACTTCTCATGGGTTCACCCAGTGTCAGAGATCTTACAGTTCAGAATCCTTCTAACTGTGGTAGGGAGAAACCTGTTCTCTACTGCAGCCCCTATATAGCCCCTAAGTCGATCCCAAGTAGCACTCCAAGTTTCCTGTTCCATGTGAGAGTTTTGCCTTTAATTCTTTTGGAAAACAGGAAAAATGTTTAGAAAAGGCCATAAATAGAAAAGACGAATGTTCCTTGCCAGCCCCTGCTGAAAATATTAAATATTAAACAGAATACAAGCTACAAGAGGAAAATATATATATTATTCAGACTTCAAACCACCTCACAAACACTAAAACAATTCCAGGTAACTAACTCCATGAGCAAGTATAAAATTTAACATGCACATAAAGTATGTTCTTAAAAATGACAACCTGGTAATGGCTAAGAGGAAAATATGCCTCCTCTGTGAAAGGTAACCAAATGAAAGGTACAAGCCAAAAACAACCACAAGGGCAGGCCAATAAAAATGTAATGTATAGAAAATGTAGCCTATATTACCCAATCTTCACTGTCATATTCATGCCTGTTAACAAAGAGTAAAAATCTAACTCATGAGTGGTGTAAATGTAAGTGAATTATTCCCGTTTCTCTGCGTAAGATAGATGTCACTAAAGAGTTCCAATTTTGTTGGGTATTCTGCAGCAAAGTGTTCCTTTATATCAAAGGAAACCATATAATGACTATACTGAATGACACTTATGGAGCATAATAGGTACTCTGAACATTTGGTAAGAATCATCTGCTTATGAGAGAAGGAACTGAATGGCTAGATGTATCCCTAATGTACTGTGAAAACTGAAAATGAAATGAATAGAAAATTCACTTAAGAGATTCCAGAGCTGATGTGGCCTGAAGAGCATTATAAACCCCTAGATAAGTTTTCTCATTGGCTCTACTGGCAACAGGATTCCCACAGGACTGATCTATAGTTTGTGTGACCCAAGCCTTTCTAAAAAAAAACACACACAAGAAGCACCTAATTCACCTTCCACAAAGCCACAAATGTTCACCCTTATGGCTGATTCTTTGTCTGCAGGATAGCAAACTCTGTTCAGAAGGGTCTTTCAGACAGAAGGTTCCTTACTTTATCTTTGGTATACATACATATGTTAATGAGGTTGTCTCCCTTATTTTTCTGTTGAAGCTTTCAAAGGCTGACCTTGCTGTCATTATACAGCACTTCTCCATTTCATTCTCCCAGATTTGTTATGGAGCTCTTCCAGAACTTACTTCTTACCCTTCTGATTTATACACATTATCTGTGTCCTTCAGAAGAAGATGAATTAGATCTGTTCAGAATTTTTTAACTTTAAGGTTTCACCGGAAAACTCCAGTTGGATCTAAACCATTTCATTTAAAATACCTTGGGTCCAACAAAACACTTTATTGAATTGAAATAAATTCACATTAAAAAAAAGTTTCAAAAAACCCAGCAGAATCTGCTACACATCCAATTGCATTTTACAAAACATTTTAACTACAGCAAAGGCATCTTTTTGAGTGTAGGTATTAAAATAAATTTTCATTATTTTCTATCAGCAAGGTCCTATACAAACCAGTTCTTCTATACAACATACTTGTAATTTTGTATCAGTCTTCTTAACTATCTTCTGTGAGAGTTTGTTCTTTTCTGGTTTTTTGGGGGTTTTTTTTTTGGGTTTTGGGTTCTTTTTTTTGAATCTCACTCTTAAATTATATCCCCTAATCAAGGTAAATACCACTCGTCAAAACCAATCTTATTCAAATTTCAGTGGAGCATGATTATGATTTACAAAATCACTGATCCAGAAAATCTCCTTTGGAACATCAGAAAACCTTTCTTTGCTTTTATAAATTACTGACAATGAAGCAGCCAACCAGCCACAGAAAATTCATCCACAGCCTTTGAACAAATCTATGGTTTGGTGCCCTGTCAGTCTGCTCAGGCACTCTTCCCATATTTGTCATGCTAATCACCCACTTCAGAAATAATAGAGAGAGGTCAAGGACAAAATGTTGGTCAGTAAACTTTAGTGAATGCAGTTATACCAGATAAGGACCAAAAATACAATGCAGCATTGTGATATTAAACCAAGCTTCAATAGCAAAGCTTCTGCAGTTAGCTGAAAACAAAGGACTCTAAACTCTTCAGAAAAGGAGCACACAGTACCTTGTGTCAAAGATACACACTGTTCTCTCCCACCCATATAGCTGACCTTTACTCAGCTCCAGCTTGCTCTATTTCAGTGATGCAGACTGTAAGCTATAAGCTGTTATCATCTGTGAAAAAATGTAAAATCTGACAGCCTTTCAATGCCAATTTCTTTAATGAATGAGATCGCTATTTTTTTCTCTGTGTGGAAGGGGGAGTGGTTTGAGCAGTTGCTGTTTTAATTTTAGGAGTTGTACCATATGAATTTTGATCAACACAAAAAGTTTGTTGGAAACAGGAATATTTATTTTTTGCAGAACTAATCAGTTCTACAAATTTGTAAGAAATCAAAAGACAAAGAAAAAAATATTCCCAGATTTATTCACTCATGTATCTCTATATATTTAAAGAGTTCATAGACTGATTTGTCAGCTATTAAGAAGCTCTTAATTGCATTACTGAAAGAATGAGGTAAAAGGCAGCTTCAGGACCAGCTTTGTACTACTCAGAATCTGAGTCAGTAGCCGATATAAGCAAGAGCAGCCATGATGCTATTCTGAAATCCAGCAGCTTGTTTTGTTCCTATGGAGAAGTCACGCCAGCACACCTATCCTGAGCCAGTACAGGATCCAAGGCACCTTGACAGAATAAATCTTGGGATGCCATTTACTGGCCATGCAGATAAGAACACTAAAGGTACAACGAGGAGCTATATTCACCCCATAAAAAGGTCATTCCAACAGCCCTGCACGGAACACCTTTGACTCTGCCTTCAGCTCATGCAGATTTGATATCTGTACCCGTTTCCTCTTCAGACAACTCTAAAATGGCCTTCAGCTCAGCTTCAGAGAACTTAGGGGTCAGTGCCACATTGTCATAATCAAATTCTTCATCAAGTGAGAATGGTTGAACATCATCACCCAGTAGCTGTAATGAGGAAAAACAGATACATAAATAATATTGCTGCAAGTGATAATAAGGAAGCTCAAAATATAAACTTCTAATTAATATTTAATTAAACTATTTTTTTCTGACTCTAACACTCTCAGCTGATTAAGCTCTTTTTAAGTAAAAGAATAAATTCAATTATTCAATTTGACCTAATTTAAGCCATTTAATGTGCCCCATTTATACTGTACTGTATCTGAATGAATATCATTAACTAATTTTGCTCAAGGCAAGGAATGTAAAAACCTCCCTTGCACACATCTATTATATTCCTGCCACTTGTAGCAGCAAGGCTGTGGGGATATGGACATGTTATATGCAGCTATGTTAAATTGCAAAGACAGATTCCATATCGTCAAAATTCGGGGCATATTACATAAAGCTTCAGCATACATGCATCTGATACTAATGTAACATGCTTCCCAGAACACAGTTTCACTGAAGGAAAAGGCCTGCAATAAGCAAAATGACACATAATCAATTTTCAGACTCCAATGATTTTTTCACCATCTCACAGACATGGAATTGACTAGTTTGCATTTCTTGCATGATGAACATAAGAATCTTGCTGCATTTGCCAATATGTGCTTTGTTGACATATTGTATAGCATTTCTGCATTGCTTCTGGTTGAAATATCTTAGAATAAACATTCTGCCTATAAAATAAAACAATGAAAACAAATAACTATGGCAGGCTCCATGCTGATAAGAAACTGCAGGGGGAAACGACATGAAAGGTTTATGGTAAGCAGTTTCATAAAATGAATTCCAGAGCAACACAGGAGACACATCTTCACTATTAAAACTGTGTAGGAATGCTCCCTATCCCATGAGAAGTTAATATAAATTGTCTAGAAATGTGTTTCAAAGATTTAAGTACTTCAGCACCAAATCAGCAAAACATTTAAAACATATGCTTATTTTTTTCAAGTTTCTGACAAGTCTCCGGTGAAGCCCATGACTAGTGATGTATATAAAATTAAGAATACATGTACTTGCTGAAAAGTAGGAAGAACACTTCCTATGATCACTGCTCAGTTTAGAAGGCACAGTATTTGATGTGCTATTTTGTAAGAAGAAGCATAGACACAGTTAATGCCATCAAGTAAGTCAGAGAAGTGGTAGCTGGTTTCCTCTCTGGTGGCCAAGTACTTGATAGACATGGCAGAGAGCACATGGGTAGTATCTATATCCTTTATTAATAACCTGTAATGTTGCATGAATAACCAGGAAATAATTTTCCTGGTGTTGTATAATTTTATTAATCATCTATATTGCTCAGTTTTCTAGGGATCTGGCTTACATGTTGGAGCAGCCAAATAATCCTGGATGCAGATGTGCAGATCATTGGCATTTATAAATCAGAAAAACTCTGTAGATACAGTTGGTCTAGGAAACACTATTCATTCAGCACACAAAGATTATCTTGCTTATGTCCATAGACTGCTTCAGGTAAACCATCATTAACTTTTATAAAGAGCCCATTTGAAAAATGTTAACAGGAGATAAAGCCTGCACACAAACTCATTCCCACTAGAGATAAAGCCAACTCCTTGACCTCCTCAGCACACTCATGTTCATTTCCATCTTTTCCACAGAGCCTTGTTGAATTCCTTGTCAGTAAGATTACCAGCAACTGGGTAACAAATGCCAGCAGCAACCAGGGTTCTACTACCTGTCTTTCATTTGCAGAAATCCAAAGCACTCTTCTAAAATACAACGCAAGGCACAAATATTTTTCAGTTATTTTGGTTGCAATTTTTTACATTGTGCTGGTTTGGGCTGGAGTAGAGTTAATTTCCTTCACAGGGGCTGGCATGGGGCTGTGTTTTGGATTTGTGCTGAACACAGGGTTGATAACACAGAGATGTTTCTGTTATTGTTGAGCAGGGCTCACCCAGAGCCAAGGCTTTTTCTGCTTCTTGTACAGCCACAGTGGTGAGGGAGCTGGGGGTGCAGGGGAGGAGACACAGCCAGGACAGGTGAGCCCAACTGACCAAAGGGATATTCCACACCACACGGTATGTCATCAGGTCATAAGGTGGGAGGAAGAAGGAGAAAAGGGGAGTTTGGAAGGATGTCCTCTGTCTTCCCAAGTGCCTGTCACATGTGGTGGGGCCCTGCTCTCCCGGGGGTGGCTGAGCACCTGCTCACCCGCGGGAGGCAGTGAATTAACTCCTTGGTTTGCTTTCCTTGTGTGCACTGCTTCTGCTTTCCCTATTGAAATGTCTTCATCTCAAACCATGAGTTTTCTAGTTTACCCTTGTGATTCTCTCCCAGTCCCGCTGGTGGGGAGCAAGCGAGTAGCTGTGGGGCTTGGTGTCTGCCCAGGGTTAAACCACGACACACATCTAAGGTAACTGAGCTAAGAAGAGTTCAAACTACAATAAGCCTTCAAAGGGATTTTACAGAAGTAAATCTATTTTCCTCTGTCAACAGAGTTACAGAAAGTATACACACATCCACTCTGACCTTGTCTTGGCTTTCATGTCATTCTAGGAACATTTTATGCAGACACAGTGAAATACTGGAAAAACTTCTGTTTACAAAACTCAACCCCAAAATGATAACTGAAATAAGATGCCAAAATAAAACATACCCGACTTCACCCTGTTAACGATTTCTCTGTTACCCACTCATTGCACATTTGAAAAGTTTATTCACACTGCATATTTATCAGTGTGCTTCATCTCTCAAATGAGTACTCAAAGCATTAGGGATTCCTTTTTTTCTTCTTCTCCCAAGAAGCCATTGACTTCAAACTTCCATGAAGACAAGCAATCTAAAACTTATATACTGCAAACTGCAATTTTTTCCTATGTCAAAAGGAAGACATTTTACGATAGAACACTGAATTCTCTGAGCTGATCAAGTTATTATCTTGTTATTTTTGCCTAAGGAGCTGAGAGAAATATGTGATTTTCAGGTGTCTAATTTAACATCTAATTGAAATCTTTTTGAGAGCTCTCTGGGACTAGAATCCTGCTCTATTAGAAAACTGCCAGTTTGCTTAAGGTTGCTTCTGTGATTTACTCTCTGAAGAAAAACACTTTCATTTACAGTTCCTGCATGTCCAAATTAAAGGAGAGAAAGAATGTAATATTCATATTAATAACTCAAATATTTTGCTAGGGGTTGTTTTACAAAGTAATACTGTAAATAAAATACCTTAAAATTGACATTTTCAAAAGTCTATTAATAATTGGCAGTTCAGTTCTTTTATTAATCTGTGTGGAGTTACACTTAGGTGAACAGCTTGCCTCCATCCTTCTAAAACTTACATTTCTGTGTAATTATGGTACTCTATGATTTACTTGTTCAAATTATGTAAAGCTTGCATGTACACTCACCAGTGATTTCATTGCATGCTCAAGGGAAAATTTACTAATTCACTAACAGTAAATAAAAAAATAAAAATAAAAAAGAAGTGTGTGTGGGGGAAGGCATATATGCTTTAATCTCGTATAAGCTTAGTATATCCTGGGATAAAAAAAGTTTGTTTGAGCTTGGGGCACTGCACTAGAAGTCAATAAATCTTGGCCGGTTTTCCACTTCTGCTTCATCATTCTGGACAAGTCATTCAATCTCTGTGTCTTTACTGGCCTTTGAGAAGATATAACTCTTCCATCTTCTTTGACTTAGTCAATCCTGTCTTTAAGTTCCCCTGTCTTCTTGTTGCATTTATGCATAGCCTGTAGCAGAAGCAAACCTCAGCTGAGGCCTATCAGTAAAACTTTAGCCAAAGGAACTCAATGGAAGTTGTATTTTAGGGCATAAATGCTGCCATGCCACAGATTAAGATAAAATGACAGATATGCTAAATTCTTTTTTGAATGCTCAAACTACAAAGGAGAATAGAAGGGCAGAATTCTTCTTTCCCAATCCCAGGCATACAAAAGTTAGGTTTCTAGATAGTCAATCAGCCAAGCCCAGTCCAAGTTTGTGGATGGAGATATATTACATTTCACAACAAATTCCTACAGCAAGTAGGATTAATCACTTACTGGAGTTGCTTATCTTTGCCTCTTGGTGACTGGAAGAATAAAACTACATTTAAAGCTGAAGTTAGGTGAGATGAATCCCACTTTGAATGCATGTTTATAGCAAGTGGATGGAAAATATGCATCAACTGCACTCATGTGTATGCAGAGAGTGAAAGAAGAACGAATAAAGACGTGAGGAAGCAGGCATTAAGACATAAAAATGCTATCATATCTTTTATGAAAGAATATATTAAGTAGAAATAAAGGAGAAAATAAATTTCTGGGTAGGGGAGGGAAATGTTCTGTGATAATGTACTTCAAACATAGAAAATGCTGGCTCAATTTGCAGTGGCCTGTGGGAGGTCACGTATGCTCCGCTGCCAATATTGAAATCCTGAAATATATTTACGTCCAAAGGAAGAAAAGAAAGATGAAGCAACACTGGTAGACAACACAAATACTTTGCTGTGTCATTCACTAAACCACTTCCTAACACCTTTTGACAGAAAAACATTTTCAGTGAGACAAGTTGTTCTTTAACAATTATCCAAGTTATAAACTGGGTCTTAGAAGAGCTTCTTTTTTTAAACTTTCCCTAGCAATATGTTGAGAGATACACAATTTACCCTAAAGTGCCTCACAAGTGTTTCCATAGCATAGACATTTGTCATCCTGCTATTTTCCATACAGAATGGTCTTCCATTCTCTAAAAAAAACCAATTAGGCAGCCCCATCATGTTGCCCTTCCCTAACAGATTTGTTTTGATGGACAGAGAACAGTCTCATTTTAAAGCAGAGATGTCTCCAGGGAAAATCTTTTTCTCTTTCTAAACTAGTCCTGCCATAAGCAATGCAAGACTTAATTTTCAAGGCAATGACAATTTGAAGCACTGAGGGACTTTAAAATGGACCTGTTCAGTCTTGACAGTTCTAAAAATCAGGCCACAGTTATATTTTCTAAATGAAGGCAAAAATATGTTTATAATTTAGGGGAAAGACTGTCTTCATTTTAAGTAGCCTGGCACCTACTAAATGGTTGTGAAAATTGTCTTTCTTCTTGAAAAATGCAGCAACTCATAGCCAATGTAATAATACTCAGTTTCTTTCATAACCCAAATTTCCCTCAAATGGAAATGAATTTTGCATGCAGTCGGATCTTTATCTATTTTTCATGAACTATAGTTTAAAGAATCATATGCAGTCCTTTATGAACACTGCAGGCTGCTACAACCCTCCTTCTTCTATACAGAAGTTACGAAATGAGAAAGCTATAAAACCTCATTCTAGTTTTTTGGGTGTTATTTTGTGTCCAACAGATATATCTAAGGGCAAAAACCCTGATTTATGTCAACCCTTAGGGAAAAGAGTGAATATTTTTATTCACAGAATGGTAGGTATTAAAGCTTGAAAGGTCATTTTAGAACATCTACTTTTTCCCAAAGCAGACTTGTTCCTTATAGTAAAGAGTTTATTGCAAGGAACTAAACACAATTGAGCCCAGGAAAGGAGGCACCATATGCAGTGCCATAACACCAAACCTTCATTGGTCACGCATCATTTATAAACTTGATTTAAGCCTCATGGGAACATCAATAACCATATGAAACTATCAAAACTGGCCACTTTAGCTGGAAGCAAACTTCAGCTTCTATTGCAATGATCAGGCAGGGGAAAAGAGCAGTGAAGAATTTTCTGCAATAGAAACACCCCCAAAAGTTAATGTTCACGCTGACTATTTGGATAGGAAGCTTAATGACTTAAAATAAGCCTGTGAGCAATCCACACCTTCTGTTGCAGTTTGAGAAGGACTGAATTTCTGAAGGAAGACAGAAATTCTAAATTAAAGCTTGCACTGACTGTGTCTGATTAAAAGGCTCAGAGGCCATAAAACAAACCTCTCCACACCAGACCCTGACAATGCAGTTTCTTAACAGCATCTTGCAACTACTCATTTCCAAGGGATCAGATCTTAATTCTGACCACAATATATTCTAAAACCGTTATTTTTTTCTTTTAAGTATCATGTTAAAGGGATCATTCACTACCTCCCTGCTGCAGAAAATGGCTCCTATATTAAGCCAATGAGTATGCCCTAAGATCATGAGATCACTGGAAAATTAAATGGTCTATCACTCTATGTAGGTAAGGGTTGCTAAAAGGGTTAAAAGTGCAAGGGCTTACTTGAATATTCTGTAAGTTACACAAATTAAATATTAAAAAGCCCACATACCACTTGAAGTATTGAAGTACACATTTTGAAAATGTAAGGTTATATAGTTGCAGTGTGCAAGATAAAAGAGTGTTTATTTCAATTCTTAACATATTTAAGAATTCATTATTCATTTAAAAATTAAAAATTTGACTTGTTAACTCACAGCAGTTACACATATTACATCTATATCCCTCTGTTCTTGTGGAGATAACAGTAGAAGCCAATAGGAAAAATAAAAATACCCCAAACCCCCAAAGTTTGAATGAATACATCTGGCCTCATACCTCTTGGGCTTTGCTGTCTGATGGCTGGGGAACTGGCAAGTCTCTGAACTTCGGCTGAATAGGCTTTTCAAAGAAGGGTGTACAGCAAGTCACTGTCTCTTCCACCTCTCCTGGGAGAACTAATGACCCTGCTGAATAAAAAAGAGTCAACACTCCCACTCAATGCATAAATTAGCAAAATCCTGTTAAAATCCTATAGTGCTCAGACATGGGCAGTAAGTAGCTTCTTAGTCAGGGTGTGATGTACTTATTTGTTTGTATAAGTTATCATTAAAACAGATCCATGCAGTCCTGAGCTAAAATCTAGATAGTAATACTGTATTAAGGAAAAATCAAACTTGTCTCAAAACAAACATGTAGCTCTTCTTTCTTAAGGATTAAGGATTAAGGCTGAATTAAAAACTGGCTGCAGATGCTTTTATACACAGAGAGTGCCTGGGATTACATTCCTTTCTTTCAGAACAAAGATGGAAGGTCCTCAGCAGAGATGCCTAAAGTAGAAGTTATATATAAACACCTTGTCTGGCACTGATGAGCTGAGAAGGCTCATTCATTTTCTCTTTAGCTAGAGCTTCACCACCTGCACATTGGGCATAAAGAACCATTGCAAAGCATCTTAGTATAACTCTCACAGAGCATTAAGTAAAAATACCTGGCAGAATTACTAATATTCCCCACTACAGTGCCAGATGACTCTCTTGTCTAAAGGTATTTCATGGATGTTTGTTTCTCCCTGAGCTTTCCAAAAGAGGTACTTGAGAGGACTTCCCCATATCTGGGATGGAGTGACATGTAACCTTTCCATATGGGCAGGATTTGTTCCACAGTTCACAAATGAACAGCTTTTCTGAATCACTTTTCTTTTACAAACTTCAGCAAAACATTCATACCGAGACCAGTGGGTTTGCATTCTGTGACAGATCAGGATATGCCTTAGGTTTAGAAATATCTTCTAACATGAATCAATCTCAGCTCTGCCACAGCACAGATGTGTCCATCATGTCTCAGTAATGTTTTTATGAAAGAACTTAAGGGGGCCATATGTCTTGCATTTAGTCAAAGGATTATGTAAATCTACCTACTATTTTTTTCAGCTGATACACAAGTTTCTTTACAGTTTTATACTACATTTACATTTATCTTGTAATCTTAGAATAAATTTTCAAAGCATTGCTTAAATTTTACTTAATGGAAGCAACAAGAGAGTACATAGATCCAAGGTGAAACAGATGAAGTGTCTATTTATCTCTACCTGCACAGTTTTACCACAGTAGTGGAGTTATGGACCTCTCATTCCCCCCTGAGCCTGCACTTGAAAATAAAGATTTCCTAGCTAGGTCTTCGCAAAAAATCCATGATCAAATTCTTCATCTAGTTTTCTTCTGGGAACAGTGTTCTATTTAAAAGCCAGCAGGGCTTCGAATTGCAAAGTAGAATTTTCTTTTTAAAAGAGTTGAATTAATTCCCTTGGGTATTTAATTTCTGGATTTTTGTCTCTTGTTTCATGATTCACATATAAGTCGGTTTATTTTCATCCCTATTCTCCTGGTTATGTTTAATTCCAGCCATCTAAATGCTTTCAGTCCTTGTTTTCAGCATAGCATCTATTCCAATTCTGCACCAGTTATATGAGAAAACTTTCTGAAAAGGATAGCCAGTCCACAGTTATCTTGGGCTATGTCCACACATGCTCTGCAGCAGCTGCTTTTTTCATAATTTGGGTGAAAAGTATTTGTAGGATAGAAGGAAGATGTGAATGCTCATTTAAAGACAATGGCATCTTCCACTGTTGTTTCAAACTTACAACCTAAATCCACACCCTTACTAAAGTAAGGCAATTCTGGACATCAAGAGGTTTTTATCACCTACTGATATAAACACTGATTACTTCTGCACTAAGAGCTTCTCCCTCTCAACAGACCAACCTGCAGAGAGATGAGAAGGAAGCACTGTTATGCAAGAGCCTGGCAGTGACTCCAAAAGATAACTCTTAAGAATTAGGACAAGAGAAAGAAATTTATTTTTGCTTCTACCAAGAAGTGCTTCTCATACTCAGAATGTCAATTCCACGTTTTAAGGCTTGTTAGTAATGCAAACAATGTCTCAAATTCCCTTCAATCAGCCCGTAAGAATGTAATCAACCCTTGTTTGCCAGTAGACATGCCAGAAATGAGCTTTGTCTCTCTCTATCCTGGCTGTGTGACAGCATATGAAAGTCTAATTGGTAAACGCTGCTTTCCCTGATTATGTTTAATAAAGAAACCCCTTCAGAGAGAAAAATTAGAGAGTTTTGACAGTCGTCCTTCTCAGTGGGAGCACCCAAAGGAACTCCAGGCTATTGTAAGTTCTAGCCAGTACCTCACAGCTTGTTTAGGCTGCTGCTACAGCACTACTGGATGATGATCCTAATTAAGCTGCTAATTATGTTCTCTGTGGAGGTGATTAATTAGCAACAGGAAAGCCTTGGATACTGCCAATGGCACCATATATAGAGAAAACTGAACAGGCAGTGATAGCAAAAAACTGAGAAGACATTTTGAAATGCACCTCTTATACCATGAAGAATCAACTCCCTGGATGATATGGCTGACAATTTTACTCAAGTCCAGCATACTTTAATGACAGCATGTTTGGAAAGTGAACAATACTCTTTAGTCCCTCCCTACCACATCCCAGAAAATGATTACTAAATCTGCTGAGATGGAGGTTTTTTTGCTTATTTTGTACCATAGACATCAATTATGAGTATAGAAAAAAAAAAAATCTACAGGCACAAGTCTGCTTTTAAGTTTGAAGAGTGAGGAAGTTCAAAGTTTTGTCTATAACTTTACTTCAGCCAAATGATGCTCAGCTATATATACACTGACAGCTAGATATACACTGACACAGGTTTTACCACTTTCAGACACTACATTTCACAAAAATGCTGTTGATGGGGAGTTGAGAAGAGAGTGATAACAAAAAAAGCTTAAAAGCTAAATTTTGCAGTCTCCTCTAATTCTCATGCTTCAGGCTGTTAGTCCCAAAGAGCTGCCTAGTGTGAAATCATCTCAAGGCAGTGTTAAATGGATTGCAGAGACTGGAGAAGAAAAACAAGAAAGGGATTCACCAGCTGGGGAGGAGCCCCATACTTTAAAAAATCCTCACTTAACTCTGAATCCTCTTCCTCAGCCTGATTTTTCTGGATGTAAGCATAGGCTCAAAATAAAAATGGAGAGGCACAGATTATGAAAAATAACAGATTTTTATATAATTTGCCTAAAGAATTACTTAAATAATGAATAGTTATGCTTGGCCTCAGCTTCAAAATAACTGAGTCAATCAGGTTCTCCTCAGAATCTGTGGGGTTACAGACAACTGGGACCTTGAAATGACAAGTTTGCAGTACTTCAGTGCTCTAAAATGGATTAGGATGGGACAATTACATCCTTGCCTATGAAGCCTCACCCACACATTTAATTAGTCCTGTTTTAATTTCCTCGTGTACTTAAACAACAGCACACCCAAGATCTCCAGACATTCTTTTACATATTTGGTGCTTTATTCAAATATTACCTATTATTATTGAGCTATACCTCAAGCCCTGGAGCAAGAAATTTGTAAACAGTCCTGGAAAGTTCTGTTGCCAAAACATAGGCGCTAGGCAGCATCCATCCTATTCCGGGAGAAAGCCTGATCCATCTCTATTGTTGCCTTAAGCTCCTTACAGTTAGAGATTAAATTCAGGGAGAAAGAGAGATTACAGTACCCATTACTGTGCCCATGCTGTCCCTACACGATGCATTAAAGCTATGGTTTAGGGCAGCAATTTCACTTTGCCAATCATGGTTTACCGTGCCAAAGTCTCACAATGCAAAGCATTGCCCCTGTTTCAAGCTTTCAGCCCAGTGCCATCAAACAAAAACAGCTATAATGGATTTGCATACTGGCCAAATCTGTGGGCTGCTTTTCCTACTCGTAAGAAGCAGCCACATTCATTCACACCTTAAAAGACAGTGAACTTAGCAAGATAAATTGGAGAAAAAAAACCACAAAAAACCCCTTCCATAGAATGACTCTTCCAGGACATCTGCCAAACAGCACTGGTTAGATGGGATGTTTTAACACCTACTTTCTATCATGCATCTCATACTGTCAGATTTGAGCCAGTTGCCCTTAAGTGTGAATATTTATTTTATTAATGCACAGTTCCTAACTCAGCTAACTGATCTGCCCTGTAAAGCTAAGTGAAGCACAGAGATATTGAACTGCCGCCAATAACAAGGAGAGAGAAAGACTTGTTGCAATTACTAGCAAGGTGTGATATTTTTTACTGGATAAAATAAGCTATGATATTTTTAAGCTTGTTTTGACAATATGAAGTCTTAAATCAATCATTTGTTCTGACATAAGGTGGCAGCATTTAAAAAGGTCAACAACAGAATGTCTAACTCGTGTCATAATTTAGCTCATTTATAGACTAACTGTAATTCTTCAGAATTAATCTTTCACTAAGGTATTCACTAGGGATATTATTCTAGATTACTTTAATATTACAGACAATAGAAGTGACATCATTTTATATTTTAAATTTAATTTTGTTGCTATGGTTTCTACAGGACTAAGATTTTACCTCACTTAGTATGAAGCTACAGAGTGGATTTTGACAACTATCAAATCATAAGTGCTATTTTCTGCACTTAGGAGTAAAGGGGAAATTTTTTAGCCTGACTCAACAACTATCTTCACCACAGAAGCCCTGAGCAAGACCCAGGCTGTGGGTTTCCCAAGTATAAATTTAGATGCTGTTCACTTTCCTTGCAGCATTTAGAAGGAAGAATTAATTTCTGTCTAGGCAGTGTTTCAATGTTATAAAATACAATCTAAAAGCCTAATGTTGTTCGTGTGCATATTGTTGATACAGTCTCACTCTTCACTGAGGCAGTCTGCCTCAAAAGAAGTGTGTTTTACCAGGGCTTTCCATATGTATGTGATTAACATTTACTCTTGGGCACACACAAATACACAGAAACGACCCAAAAGCTGGAGAGAGGCAAGGTCTGTCACAGTACTGAATGCACCGAGTTATCCCCAAGCTTAAGCAGAGCTCTTTTTCCTCACTGTTCTGCTTGGTATTTTAGCATTTGGCTCAATTCTCATCAACCAATTGGTGGCCTGTTTGGGACTAGAGATATCTAACAATACTTTAATGAAGTAGATATAGGCATTTCTCATTTCATTATGATACAAGTGAAATGTGGGTTTGTGCTTCCACCAGTAAACTCCAGGGGTTTTTAAACAGATATTATCAGAATTTAAGACATAAGCATAGAACAATGCCCTACAGGGGGAAAAATGGGCACATATGAACACTGCACTCTAAAGAAATCTTTGACATCTGTACCTGATCTGGGACTGCTGTTTTATGTTACTACCTCCTTTCTGAAAGGCTGGAGAAAGAATATTTGCCATAAACCTGACTTACACTGGTTTATTATTTTCTTGTGAGATACTGGAAGTCTCTAAGCCCTTGGACTTCACTGGAATTCAGGACACACAGAAAGGAAAGACTAATCAAAACTTTATTGTTAGAGTGGAGAGACCAATCAAGTGGCAGTAACTCAGAAACCAAGAATCAAAGCCCTGCAGCTTCTGTCTGTGACCTCAGGCAAACCCCTTAATCTGTGTGGCTTGGTTTCCTTGTACAGTACAGGTATAGGTGAGGAAAATGAATTTAAATACTAAAAGGTTGTCAGGTCTGTTTTTAATAAAGACCATACAGGAACCTGTGATAGACTACTATAGACATTAGTACTCCATTTACTTTTTGGAGGTGGGAGAGTTAAAATTATTATAGATGTACAGAACAGTTCAACACAACTCAAAATGCTCCTAATTGGAATTTTTAAAGAAGTTCACTGTGAATTCAGAATTAGTCTAATCTATTTTAAGCCCAGGATGAAATCGTTTTAATAGGCAGGGACAGCATTTTCATTAAATATTTCCACTTTACAGCACTGTCTCTTAGCACCCACATTACTTTACGAAAAAACTTTTGTTTCAAAGTAATTTCAATAAAAAGTAGAAATGCATAAATATGGAGAGATGTTGCTTACAAGAAGCACTCTGCACTTATAGAAAGGCTTGGAAAAAAAAAACCTGTCCACCAGGACAAAGTACAATACATTTTCCTCTTAATTTATTATTTCATTACCTCGTCAAGTGGGGAAATTAGTACTTCAGTTTGGGGATTTGTGGCAATGTGGGGAATTTTCTAGCAATAGAAGAACTAAGAAATATCTCTTTTAGGGGAGAAGCAGTTCTTTAATCAATGTTCACACACTTGAATTCAAAGACAGAAAATGATGGTGAATATGAAGGGGGGAAACCTACCATTGCATGTCTCTTCATCTGTGTCTACATCTTCCAAGTTTAAGTACTTTTCCACCTGCCATGAAAACCCAGATTGGAAAACAGATGAAAATATATCAATTGCATTCCTTATAGTACAATCTAGAGCAAAGCAAAAATGCATTAAATTGTCTGCTTCATCTTCTCCATTTTTCCCTGCATTTTTCCAAGAAAGCATATGAATTTTCCTTGAAATGTGTAACCCAAAGAAAATACTTTTAGGTGTAGTCGAAGATTTACTGCCAAAATTGCCACATATCAACTTAAGTGATGGAAAGGAAGCTCAAGCTGTACAGCAACTTTTTCAGGAACTTAGTGGGAAGATGGAGAAGTAAAATATTTTCATAAGAAAATGATGCATGATAAGTTACTATGCAATTTTGCAGGCTCATTCCATACAGCACAAAGAGAGTACATGCTGTAGGCAAAGCAGAGCTTGATCCTTCTGTTTTGACACTAATGGTGAATTGATTAGGAAATAAAAAACTAAGAATTATTACATTTCTAGTGTTTCACCTGGGGCTTTGCTCTACTGTTTTCTCAGGCTAATGTCCCTTGAACAATCTATTTAAAATGTACTAAAAGACAAGACATTTCTTATTTCAGGTATCACTCTGAATAGATGCACAGGGTGAGAATGAAAGGTTTTTCCCAGCCTATATGCAAATAGTGTTACCATGGAGGATTGACTACATGCCCTGGATTTTCTTCTGTGTTTCCATGAAGTTATTAAAGATGCACTCAGATAATTTTTTTCCAACCTGGTTTTAAAACAGTCTCATCAAGACTTACATAATTTTTACACTTTACAAGTACATATTCACTAACAGTAGAAAAATTTTTGGATTGCTCTCATTCTTCATTCCCACAGATGGGAAAGAAATACATCAACAAATTGCAAGTAATTTGTAAATTAATACAGAAAAAAATCAGTCATGCTCTGCTCAGAATCCCCACTTTGAAAAAAATCAAAGAAAACCTCACCTTCACTCTTTCAGACAGATTGATATTATTTCCATCAGAGACATCAGCTGTTGAGCTCTCACTCATCACTGTCTGTAGATAGATGGGCAGAAATACTTACATGCATGAAACAGAATCAAAATCACAACCAAAGCTCCTACTGATTTATACATAGTTCACAGAATCACAGAATGAGTAAGGTTGGAAGGCACCACTGCAGGTCACCCTGTCCCTGTCCCCTAGAACACATTACTCAACTTTATAGATGTTGTATGTAAAAATTTTTAAGAAGTGAATGGAATGTTCCTGAAAATAGAACAGGTATAGGTAATTCTCTGAAAACCTACACGGAACCAGACCGAATCAATCAGGACAACAGTGCAAGTAATCACAGCATGCCTAAAAAGCAACATTTAGAACAGTAGCATTGTTTTCAATAGCAGTGTTTTCCCCATTTTCCTTTCTCAGTGCAGGCCGAAAGGTTACAGTGGTCAACTTAATGCATTACGGCCTCTTCCTGCTACTACACTGTAATTTTTCTGCTGCATTCTACTATTACTGTATATGTTTCTTAAACTGCTAATGTGACAAAAATGTGCAGCCATGTCTGAAGCTTCTTCTTCTTCAGAAACAAAAACATACCTAAAGGTTTGTGGAAGTTCCATTACATAGAGGATAATGGAAGTTGTACATTGCTTTATGTGGCAGAAAGGCAATTCAATGGGGCTAAAGTAAGAGACACAAAGACAAATTATACCAATGATGAAACAATACTTCTCATTAAAAAAATGGCAAAAATATTGCCATTACTATTACACAGTCAACTGACAGGATTTTTTTTAAAGCCTTGCTTGATTCTACCTCTAAGATATGTCCTAGTAAGGAGCAAAGCGCTCTGAGGCCTGGCAGGCCCATCATTTGAAAGCACTTTAGTGTCTTGTTCTGTGTATTTCACAGAAGGACCTGCTACTTCTTTTTTAATAAAAGTTTAATGAAGGGAAATTTTGAGTACAGACTAGATCACAGCCTAATTATTTGTTATTCAGGCAGGAAGGCACAAGTTCTTAACAAGTTGACTCAGATTTCTATCTCATTCCCTTCCAGATGATGTCTGTTGTTTTCTTGTCCCTACGTATTAAATCCCTAATCCCTTATGTTTCAGAAGATCAAAAAATGCCCCTGGCCTGCCTACTGTTTACTTCAGGCAGTAACATAACTTCAGTAACACAGAACTCTGTACTTCCTAAAATCTACAAAAATCAAAATAAATCTGTCCATGCTGGCATCCATACTCTTGGGATTTTTTTTTCCTTTTTGCCAACCTCTACCACAAACTGCAGTCTCAGTGAAAGCATTACTTAGATCATTGCAGGATGCCTTATTTGTTAGTCAGATTATGGCAGCTCTTCAGCAGGGCAAATGCCACTGCCAAACATGATCTCTGCAGGTGCCTCTCTAAGTATTTAACACTTAGGTAGTATTTTAAATATTTGCCTCAAATAGGATAAATACCACTAGCCTCTAACATTTGGACAGTGTATCTCTCCATATTTTCATCTGTTTAAATGTGGTGCTTGTCCACATGGACAAATGTTAACTCATTACCTCATTCTCATTTGGCATCCGTGGTGGAAATGATACCCACATTTCTTTGCTTCTTTCAGGTGAGCCATTCTGCTTATTTCTGTTTGGTAATTCAGAAGTAGAACATTTTTTTCTTAAGGAGTCCACTTTACTTCCCTGAATTGTCTTTCCCTCTTTCTCTGCAAGCAGAATCACACCAGATCAAATAACATAATGCACTATCCAAGAAAAAGAAAAAACTTTTTTACACATTCACTTTTCCTCTCATGCAAGCTTCCATGTACAACATATAAATGTATTTAATCTATAAAATGAAACTTTACCATAAAACTTTACCAGACTTTACCATAAAACTGAATATGCAGTTTGAACTTCAACTGCACAGAGTCACACTTATTTCTCAATACTGAAGAATTCATTATCACAAAAGCTTATGCAATATACGGAAAACTTAATAAAATCAGCCAAGAATTGCTATACTTCAAAAAGCAAGACAGCAAGGTTACCCCTTACTGGATCTAGAAGCTGACTACAATGTGCATGGAAGTATGGATTTCCAAACCCACGCTGAATAATTGGTTTTTTTTTCCTTTAACCTGGCAAAAAATAAAGTAATCACAACCAAAATAAAAATGCAACACTTTTTTATTTTAAAAATCCCATTATCAAATAAGAAGCAGCTATATGTCAATCGATTAAAATTAACTTCACACCACATGTTCTTAATGAAAAATAAATGCTCATTTAATTAAGATTTTTGGGTTTAGTTTGAAAAATTTACTTTGCGACAATAAGAAACACTGCATTGCATTTCTAAATCATAATTATGTATTATAAGCATTGAAGTAATTCTTGTGGAGAGTTTTAATGATGCCTTTGGGGTTACTCCGTTGAGCCATACAGCAAAGAATTATTAATGCCCTGGGACAGCTCTGTGCTACAGTTACTGCGACATGCAGAAAGGGCTGGCAGGCTGGGCATAACCTTGCCCAGTCCATGCTTACAAGAGTCAGGGTTCATAGAAAGCAAACTGCACTACACCAGAGCAACCTAGCAAACAAGCTTTAATGCTCAGATAACAGATGGATCCTCTGAATAATTCCTAAATCCCAGGTCTCTGTAACATCTTGCTTCTCCCTGCTTCTTTAGCAAGCACTTTCCTGAAACAGTATTTGATACAGCAGTACATATGAGCCATCACTTTTTCCAACATGCTCTCTTTTTTAAGCCATGGAAATGAAACAGTGTTAGATATGAAACTCTTTTAAATTCTTGATGGGTAAAAGGGTCACCCACTATTTGGAGATAATTTTACTGTCAGCCTACTTTACAGGAAGAACTAGATGGCTACTTCTTAAAAAAATTTCAATATCTTTTTACTTTAGTAGTAAAAAAGGACGGGCTTCCTGTTTTATCCTAAGACCTTACAAGTTTTATCTTAAAGACTGACAAGCCACAGAAGAATAATAATGTATTTTTGGGGAAAATGTGTATTGGTAAATAATGTAGCTGAACATCTGCAGACCAGTAAAGTACCAACAGAGTCTGAGGACCGACCCATTGTCCTCCCTTGTGCACATCAGGAGCATTTCTGTATGAGGAGTAATAAAAAGATTCTGGAAGCCATACACTTTTCTCATCAGACCAACAGAGAGACAACATTCACTGGAATGATCAGAATGATCAGAAGCATAATTCACAGAGCCAACAGACTCTGAGTAAACATGATATTCTTGCACTGGCCCATGCTTCTCTTGTACACCACTGTGGCCATTCTTCCAGGCTATAAATCAGACCATCCTTCTCAAAAATACAGGTTCTGAATTCTCCAAAGAAAATAATACCACTTTTAGCATCAAAAGACCTATGACACATAGCTGGGCAGTTATAATTAGGCACACATATGAGCTGACAAACTTGCTTTATTAGGTTATATATTTTCTGGACATCTGAGCTATTGTCACAGCTAAAAAGCTAGATAGATTCAATGAGCTAGTAAGAAATCAAGTGCATTCAGAGTATTTATGTGCCATTTACCAACCCCAGACTACAGCTTAGAAGCACTATCCCTTTTCCTAAGAGATCAGTCATAAACTTTTGACAGAAACCTTTTACTGGTTAAGACCACTGCAAAGTTACTGGGTTAGAGAATATTAAATATTACATTTGATGAAACATTCAGCACAGCAATGTGATACTAGATTCATGACTGCTTGTGAAGAAAAATTCAGAAGAAAAATATCTAAGCAACACAAAGCAGTTGTTAAATGCAATTCTATAGACAAAATATCAACTATGCAACTGTGTGCATGAGACCATGCCATATAAATTAAAGGGGGGCAGATAATTTAAATATTGTGTTGCCAGCCTTGAGCACAGCCCCTCAGGACCAGTAAGAGCCAACTTCAGCTGCCCAAAGCAACCACTGACACCCAAAATCTCCCAATGCACACGTCACATAACTGGCTCCTTTGAAGCAGTAACTGTAACCAACTTAGAAAATATTATTAAAAATACCACACGTAAGTTGTTTTGAAGTTAAAGAAACTACAATCTGAAGCATCACAGGTGTATTTCTTTGACAGTGTTCTGAATTTCAACCATTTCTGTCCTTACTTTTTAAAGAGATCGGGAAGAAGGAAGGATTGCATTCAAGCCAGCAAGAGGATCACTCTGCCTTTCCCCTGACTAAGTGATAATTGACTCATTATTCACAGTCACAGCTCTCAACCTGCCAGGAACACTGGCCTTCACAATATGTGAGAAAAATCAAAAATAAGGGATACAAACACAACAAAATGTAGCACAGGAAGAAAGCTGAAATGATATAAAGATTCACATATTTATTCTGCAGACAGATTTTGTCTCAGTTTTTAGTCATTTCACTGTCAGTATCTTAAAAATGAAATAACAAGTCAACTCAGGTCTCTAGAAAAGTACATCTGAGTCTCTCAAGAGCAGTATCCATCATAATTGTATGTCACTAAGAGTATGGTGCAGACTTCAGAAACATGTTTCAATCAAAAAGGATATCCAACTTGATAAATTTTTTTCTCTCCTGCTATCTATCCTGTATATTGCCTAAAATTCTCTTTGTCTTCCAATTTGGACAGGAATTTTTTGAGAATGTCTGGTGATCACCCACATATTCCAAAGAATAATGGAGTCACCACAAAACCAGGGAAGATTATCACGTGTATTATCAGGACAAACTTACTGTCAGTGAAATCTCTCAGACGACATAGTAGCCCCAGAAGAATGATAAAATTCTCATGGTCTGAAGCATTTCAAAGCCAGACCAGACAGAGCAATCAACTACATACCACAGAATACCTGGCTTGGGATATTACACTGGACAAAAAAAATCAAACTAGAAGGTACTTCCCACCTTTTTTCAATTGGATTAATTAATTTCAAAAACAAAAACAGGTTGAGATTTAGAAACAGGCCCCTTTAGCTATAAAACATCAACAACAAGAAAAAAACATACAGAAAAGCTACTATTTTAAGTTCCAATTTATTTTTTTATCCTCAGATTGTGGACTGAGGGCCAGCAGAAGGCCTATGAACCCCTTAAATCTCTTCCAAGTTATGCTTTGATGGAAAACCTGGAATTCAAATATTAGAGTGACTTTCTGCAGGACTCCTGAACAAAAAAAAAAAAAAAACTATTTTACTCACAGTACCATAATAACTGTCTTGAACAGAAATCACAAGTACAAATGTCATGTTCATTCACTTTCTCTATCCTTCAAACACCATTAGCAAACGTTTTAAAACAAGAAAGAAGGCTGTCACTGAAATATTCCCATAAAATACCACTTTGACATGTTCACAAGGTGATTACATAATCTAGAACTACCTGTATTACTCTCAAATATCTATTATCAACATTATCAAATATACAATATCAATATCATTAAAGATCAAATACCTATTTGCAACTATGTAAACCATTGTACAGCACTGCATTCATTTACCCTAAATTACAAGCTGTAAGAGGAAAACAAGAAATTTCAAAGCTGAAAATCCAGTTTGCTGAGAAGGTAATTTTTAAAGCCTTCTATTAATTTGTGTTAACTCGAAGAAAGCAGCTCCCACATTTTCTGCAGAAACCCTTCCAAAATTTGCAGCCTCCCTGTGCTTGTATGTTGTCCTGCTAGGAATAGAACATAGTATTTTAAAGTTACTTAGCCTAAAAAAGTCATTCCAATTTATGTTAACCAGATACCTTTCTGTTTCCATGTATTTTTATGTATAAATTGCTGTAAATCAATGAAGTTTGTCTGACCATTCAACACAAGAAGTCAAATTATCCCATATAGTATGTGCCTGGAGGATTTCAGTATTAGAGTCCTATATGCCTGTCCAAAATTAAGAGCAATTCAGGTGTAATTTAGGCACCAAAACTTCATCATATAGTCCTGTTTTAAGAGTTTAAGGTCAGCTTCCTGATGCCACCCAAAAAGGCAGAGGATGTTTTATACATATTGTACCTAATCTGCCCACACTCAGCATCTAAACTGTCTGTCCCATAACTATCTGAATTCCTATAAAATCCATTCCAATCTTACTCTATCTTACACAATCCACACTGATTTTGACGGCAGCGATCTCACAGTAGTACTGAGCAAGCAGAACTCCTTTACAGCAAATAACTTGCCTGAAACATTTACTTCAGTGGGCAAATTAATATTGGTAACACAAAAGTTCAGCTGGTGTAGCCTTTTCCCCTAATGTCTTTGATCTTATCCTGATTAAATGACAAATAATCAGCACAAAGTATTCTTTAGCTTTTTTTTCCCCCTTCAAAAAAGGTCAGGTTTTACTGTAATCAGTAATGTGGACTTGATTTTTTAATTTAAATTTATGCATTTTTTAACAAAATTCCACTGTATTATCTCCTCAGCTAGGATAAATACATATTCCATAGACTGGGACAAGTAATTTCAGTGGGACTAATTCTAACCTAAAATGGTAAACTCGTAAGTCCCAATAGTTACTTTTGACTGCCATTTTTGGATACTTATTGTAGTATGTTTAAAAATAAGTCAGGAAAGGACTTTTTTATGTGCTCCTTCAGGGGAAAGATGAATGACTGCTACTCTCAAGAATATTTCAGCCACTCTCACAGACCTTCTCTAGCTTAATGTACAGCAATACTTCTCTAAAACTAACT